CAGATTCTCTCTAAGTCCGTCCTTCAATGACCTACAACTAGGTGTAAACTTAGAAATAGTTTGACTAACAATATTACTCGATGATTTCGAATTAGCATCGTGGTGTTAGGAAATATGGGTCGGAAAAACTTCGTTGGTGACTTTTCATAATTTAAAAACTCACTTCAAAAACTTGCAGTGATTGAACACCCCCAGCTCGGGTTTGCACAATTTTAATCCCTTCACAGCACCCTTTTCACGCATGCAATTGACCAGATCTACAGCAGAAAATCTTACTTTTCTAGCACCGAAAACACTAAAAATCAAGGGTGTGCAAATAATTCCATACCCATATACGACTCGTGACATTCGACTTTTTCAATTCGAGCGTTCATCCTATTTGGGATGATAACATCAGCTTCAATCCGGCGTAAGGTTCTGTCGTCAGGATCACCTAGAAACCGTTCGCTAGTGACATGAAAGGAGTCAAAATGTGCTATTTGGAAAAATTTACACTCAATCCTTTCGAACAAGGAAAGATTTGCCACTCATCTTGCTAAAACTTGCTTAGAAAAAGTGGAGCGGTTTTGGTGAAAGATCATAAAGATCATATTCAAGCCGCATTACCAGTTTTTAAGCGTGGGTAAGGTAAGATAATAGAGATAAAATTAAATCAAAAATATGCCTAACAGAGAGTCCGGTGGAGCTCTGTGACATGCTAATAATGGTTAATATCCACTCCGCAGAACGCATCCGCTCTTGGGTCTACGGTGGAATTAAAGTTATGTCAAGAAAGGCGATAGCAGGCAGATTTATTACTCCGAGTTTTCCACATTTCCTGGAACATTTTAATGTGGTGAACACTAGTATCAACTTCAATTAGAATTGTCAAACACAGATTGCAGGTCCTTTCTGGACTGAAAGCGGGTGGAAGCGGCGTGTTCAATTTTTTTGGCTTCACGAAACAGTCGTAATTTTCTCGCTAGAGAGCACTGCTTTTGAGGAAAACCAAACACCGCGGTGCTGAGGAAGAAAGCGCTGAGTGGATGGGCTGACTTAGATTTCCGGTTCACTGCGAGTTATTCGCCTAAATTTGGGAGCTTTCATAAAATCGGTCATCATTACCTGATAAAAACTCAGAATCTCTATTCCTAAATATCCTTTAATTGGACATAAACGTTGAACCAGATATACTTCTTTAGAATTCAGTAAAATTATAGTAAGAGATGCAAAATAGATACACAGCCAGAATAAGAATAGAATACCTATCAAAAGGAATTTACATCACAACCATCGGTACGTTCTTTTCCTCGAGGCCAAGTATAATTACAGCTTCAACTAGCAGCAATCCAAGGCTGATTTTGTAGAACCAAATTGCTTGAATCTCATTTAACTATGTGATGATCAACTCACCTAGTCCATGAGGTCCAGATGAGGCATAACCAGGTAAAATTGTCTTCTTAACTCGATATTTCTTGCCTGTTTCAGCATCGGTGAAAATTTCACCTTCCTTCAGGAATTCCAAGTTATCCGTAACTATGGGCTCATCAACATGACTAGACATTATTATCCTAAAACCACACATTTATAAGAAACCGTTGTCCAGTTCAACTGACCCCAATCGCTTTGAAAGAGTCTGACAATAGTCTTGGAAATGAAAGAAGCCGATCTCAGCAAAACATTTATTTTTTTCCATAACACAACAACGCAATAACAAAAAGTAGTAATTCTGGGTAAACTATGCATATACAAGATAGAATCAACAATATGTGTAACGTGCCCTCCAAGCAAATGACTACCTAGTAAGGACAACTCTTACAGAAATAAGTGTTCAGAAGAAAGCAAAAGAAAATCTTCCTTTAACTTCGTCACATGTGATATTAGGCAGGAAATGTAAGTAAATCACTCACAAACTGGATGGTACCCAAATGGCATAACAAAGCAAAGCACTAACGCTTAGTTGAGTTCCATAGCTTGTTCTTTCTGCTTTTGCTTCTGCGTAACAGGTTCCTTTGTAGCAAGTGGAGCGCGAATGAGATGGAGCTTGGTTTCAGCTTTCTTGATCATACCAGCCTTCTTCACAATCTTGCCCGGTTGCAAGGATTTGCGGATTAGATTGGCATATCTAAAATTGGAGAATTTATGTTAACAAAAAAAAAAATGCGATTCAAAGCTTTTGAACGAAAATGCTCTTCATGCGAATTTCAACACTAAATTTTCTACATTCTAGTCAAAAAATGCACCAGAAGTGATTTGCTATATGTAGTAAGCATATGAAAACTATGGAAACCGAAATTCAGATCTTATTCGCCAAAGAAATTCCAGAAATGAAAGAAAAAACATTCTGAGGTCTTAAATGCAAAAGAAAAAGTAAATATTCTGCTTATTTAGGTGGAAAATGAAGAGATCGAAAGATATGTGTAAAAAAAGGAAGACTTACCTCTTATGTTTTAGAGTCGAAATCGTCTTTGCTGCTTCTACAGTGTTCTTAAATAATTCCCTTTCATATTTTACAGGCTCATCTCTTTTCTGCTCCAACAGTTGAGTAAAATCATTGACAAGTTCCTAAAAACATTATCAAGAAGAGTAATGTGAAGTAAGAAAAATCCTCATTAAAAAAACTGGAAGCCAAAAATTAAAGAAAAGCTGTTGTAGGATATGCTCACCTTTCCTCGTGCTCGACGGGATGCCTTGGTGAATCTCAACTTTCTCGGGTTTTTCTTCTTTTTGAACAGCTTGTTGCACTTGGATCGGCAAAATTTGAATATCTAGAGGGCAATTAACAGTCAATGTATGCAATTACTATGATGTTAATAGTCTACAGCTAAAAATAGATAGCCTTACCGTGCAATCGTTCCTAACAAATTGGATTCCATGACCTGGATAGATTGGAGACGAGCAAAAGTAGCACGTCTCTATCCGCATTTTTACCTGAAGATGCTAATTTCGTTCAGTGGAAGGATAA